CGTGAGTTGAAAAGGAGAGACAGAGGCAGTCTGAAACCTGAAACTTGAGCAAGTGAAGGGGGCTTGAGAGGAGGAGAGCAGGCTAAGGAAGGGACAAGTCAGTAGCTGAACCCAACAAAAATCTCTGCCCTGGGCCTTGGGGCTATAGCGACAATAAGATAGGACTCCTGGTCCTTCAGCTTCCAGGCTGCCTGTAGAGATGCAGAAGGACCCAGGCAAAGACAAACAAATGGACTGAGTTTGGTGGAAGCAGAAGGCCAAGGGACTTAGGGAGCACCAGGAGCATCTGCTACAACACAGGCTCTGGGTAAAAGCTTCTAAGAAGAGGAGACATTGGAGCTGGACCTTAAAAAAGTGAATAGGAGTTTGCTCCCTAGACACTGAGGAGCTCTTAATTCCCTATATCCCACCTTGTATTGTAACTGGCCATATTGTACAGCCGGCCCATGTCTCTCCTTTCTGCTAAGCTCCACTGGGTGGAAACTGCAGCTGGCTGGTCCATTGAGTTATCTCCCAGGCCTAAAAGGGCGCCTGACACATAGTAGGTGCTCGATAATGCATGTGAGAGAACAGCCTGTGCTAAGACCCAGCATTCGGTGCAGAGATGGAGCTTGGTACAAGGTGGGTGGAGCAGGTAGTGTCCAGGGCAGGAATGACCTTGTTTGCCCATCTAAGTAGTTTGGATTTTATCTTCTGAAAGGAGAGGAAGGTGATCAAATTGGCATTCACTCATTTATTTGACAAATATCACACATCTGCTGTGTGCCAGGTATTGTATTAGGCCCTGCAGATAACATGGGAATAAGACCAACTCCTTCTCCATGTGTAGCCTACATTCTCATGGGAAAACAGAGACAAAGTTGTAAGCAATTCAAAAATAATACCTTGGCAGCTAGTGATGAAGTGCTAGGTAGAAAAAATTTCAACCGGTAAGAAGCTAAAGTGATTGTGGAAGACAAGGGAGGCTGTGGTAGGTGGGGGTGTCTCAGACAGCATTGCCAGCTGCGGGGAGCAGAAAACCTGCCTCACAGTTGCCCACCATGTAACAGTTTATTTATATCTTGCAACAGGAAGCCCAAGAGGTAAGCAGTCCAGGGCTGGAGACTCCAGGGTGATGTCATGAAACCAGGCTCTTCTTTCCTGGTACACCTTTTCAGCGTTATCTCTGATCATTTAACTTTTAATTTTTTTAATCGACAAATAATAATTATACATATTCATTGGGTACATAGTGATGTTTTGATACATGTAATGTACACTGATCACATCAGGGTAATTAGCATATCCATCTTCTCAAATCTTTATCGTGTCTTGTTGGTAGCATTCAATGTCCTCCATCGAGCTATTTGAAACGATACACTATATGATGTATTAACTATAGTCATCCTGCAGTGCTGTAGAACACTAGAACTTCTTCGTTCTATCTAGCCATCTAGTAATTTTGTATCCTTTAATAAATCTCTCTCTTCTTTCTTTCTCCCTATTTTTTAACGAAGAGAATGAGTCCATGCATGTTATATTTATTTTAAAGTACATAATTGAAAACACTGAAGTTGATATCTTGCTGACATATGGATTTCTCCAACCAGAAATATTCAGGAAAGCCTGATGCTCAAAGAAATAACCAGCTGAGCTTTCTAGTGTGAAAAATAGGGAAAAAGGGCCAAAGCCACATCTGGGTGGATGTGATGTGTGATTGGATGGCACCTGATAGGTATATGTGTGTGCATGTGTGTGTGTGTGTGTGTGTGCACGCATGCCTGCAAGGTGACTGATTCATATACTAAGCTAATTCAGTAGAAGCACCCACTCAAAGCCAGAAATGACCATGAGAATATTACTCCAATCTGTACGCATCTCCCACAGAGAAACTCCAATCTGTACCCATCTCCCACAGAGAAACTTGGAAATCTTTTATGAAGAGCATCCAGCTTCCTAAATCTCATATAATGGGAGCTGTGGGACAAATCAACAGCTGCTGAGACATGGTTCTCAAAAGAATTGTTCTGGGATAGTGGGGGAGATAGATTTGGGAAGGAAAGTCTATAGGCAGGGAAATAAAATAGTCCTGGGAGAGATGGGGAGGACCGGACTAGGGCAGGTTATGGGGATGAAGAAGAGGGGGCAGCCTTGAGAATGATGAGGAGAGAATGCTGGAACAGTGGCAGCTGAACAAACAAAAATGAAGGAAGGGCCATGGGGGTGATGGGACCAAAATGCAGCAGCAAGAACTGGAAAGCTGCTTCCGGTCACCAGCAATGTCAGCTTCCCTGTCAGAGAGTCGCTTCTAAGGGGCAAGTCCCAAGAGCTCTCTAAGGAGTCCCTGCAGGGGCCTGTACTTCTTTTGCTGGTGATGCCGGCCAATGAGGGAATCCAAATAGTCACTGAGTACTGGGCATTCATTACTGCCTTGGGAGCCAATGGCAAATTTGTTGAAACATAATAAACATAGCAGCAGCTCTTTGGGGAGTTTGTAAAAAGGCATACCAAGCAACCTAGGTCACTGAACACTTGAGTGAGTGGGTCACTGCTTGGTGGAGACCCTGTTGGGAAGTGGTGTAAATCCCTCTAAAAACTTAGGGCTATGACTATAACTTAGCAAGAAAGGGAGGTGGGTTAGTTCCAGAAAGGTTCCTTTCCAATAGATTATAAGTGCATTTTTTCCTTCCTCTCTTTCTTTTTCTTTCTTTCTTTCTTCCTTCCTTTCTTTCTCCCTCTCTCTCTGTCTCTCTCTCTCTCTGTCTCTCTCTGTCTCTCTCTCTCTCGCTCTCTCTCTCTCTCTCCTTCTTTTTTGAGACAGTGTCTTGCTCTGTCATCCAGGCTGAAGTGCAGCAGCCTGAACATGGCTAACTGCAGCCTTGACATCCTAGTCTCAAGGGATCCTCCTGCTTTAGCCTCTCCTGTAAGTGGGACCACAAGCATGTGCCACCACACCTGGCTAACTTTTATATTTCTTTTGCAGAGACAGGGTCTCACTTTGTTGCCCAGGCTGGTCTTAAACTCCTTGGCTCAAGCAGTCCTCCTGCCTCAGCCTCCCAAAGTGATGGGATTACAGGCATGAGACTCTGTGCCTTGCTGCATTTATTTCTCTTTATGTGGCTAGTTAAACTGGTTTCAGTTGCTCAAATATTCCACTCTTCCTGGGCCAGGCACTGTTCTAAGTCCTGGGGAACAAAACAGGCAAAAATCTCTCCTCTCACAGAATTTAGATTTCTAGTAGGAGGAAACACCCCAAATCCAAAATAAGCATCATAGTCTATTTATAGTATACTGGTTCCTTTGTTTTCCTATGTTAAACAGGGCTCTTAAAACATATTAGAGTTAAATGTTGCGCATATACATCCTTTATTATGTAATAATAAATAAGGATTTACACTTATAAATTATTCTACTTGTTTCTTCTTTAACCACAAAATCAAAAGGAGATTTGGCCTACAGCACATGATAGTTAATCAGTAATAGGCAAACTTTTGAGCATCTGTTACTCCTATGTTTTTTATTCAAGCATTTGAGAGAATTAAAGATGGAAGCATCAAAGGCTCAGAAGTGAAATGTCCAAAGATCAGTCAATTGACAAACAAGACCCAGGGATCTCAATTCACGGGCTCAGGTGGTACACATTCTCCACCACCTGCCTGAAACTACCACTTCCATGATCCAGACAAAGCTGGTTGCCATGGGTACACATGCATACATCTCATGGAAAAGATATCATGAAGTGTATAGCTCTCCTTAGGTGACAAAGCACTTTTGCGTTTGTTATCTCACTCCACACTCCACATAAGCTTGCCAGATTTAACAAATAAAGTCACGAGGCACACAGTTAAATTTGAGCAATATTTGGGACATGCTTGTACTGAAAAAAAAGATCATTTATCTGACATTCAAATGCAACTGGATTTTCTGTATTTTGTCTGGCAACTCTAACTCTCAACCCTCAGGAGCAGACAATATTAGCGTCTCCATGTGATTACCGAGGCTCAGAAAGTAAATTGCCTACAGTCAGTAATGGATCAAAGGGTGAAAGAACTGCGCTTTCGTCCTTTTACTGGTTGCTGGGAGAATGATTGCTCCCGGATCTCATCTTTGGGCCTCAGATGTGCTGGGGCCAAGTGGGGTGATCTCAGGGCTAGGAGGGAAGGGGACTTTTTCAGGGAGGCCAGCCATGGAGGGACCGGCCATTATGAGTAGTCTTCATAACAGAGGGCAGGGGCGGGGAGGCCTTGATGCTTTGTTGCAATTTAGTTTGGGTTTGTTTACTGTACCAGGGCCTGGGCACTTCAGCCAAGAAGGCTGGAAATGCAAGAAGCCATCTGGAGCCGTGTGCTGAGTCACAGGGCCCAGAGAAAAACAGGAACATCGTGACGCCAGAGCAAGGGTAGGGAGAAATCTCCCTCAAGATTTCTGTGGGCATCGGAAATAGAAACTGATCCCTTTGAAGCATCTATTGCTAGAGATCCAAGTCTCTAGCAGATCACCGGGAGGTTTCAATTCAGTTCCTATTAAGCGCCAACCGAACGTATGTGAGAATGTCAGGGAAGCAGTTGGTGAAGGGGCAGCCTTATTAATTTGATTTTATTTATTTGAACAGAGCAAACCCCTGTTCAATCCTGACTCATCCTCTTTCTTCTCTTACTGCCCATTTGCCCTTGAGCAGATCACTTAAACTTTTTGACCTTGTTTTCTGTTCAGTAATAATAATTCTTGTCTCATTGAGATAGTGTGAGCACTTAAAGGGAATTACATTTTTCAAAAGCATCTTGCACAGATCTGGCACACAGTCAGTGGTAGGTCTTCTTAGCATAGGGATATAAAAAGATCTCTCTGTGGGGCTGGTGTGGGGATTAAATTGGATGACATGTCTTTACTTTCAAGCAAGCTCTGGACTGAGCTCTTAGTAAGGTTTCAGCTAAGGAGAGAGATTTCTTTCTTCCTCCCTAGACACTGGGGTAACTGGTTCTGGTCCCCCAGGGTTCTGGTTAGTGGAGCTAAATACGTACATGCACAATGAATGTTTACACAACATCCACTCATTTCATTCCACAAATATTTCTTTTAACGTTGTACACATCACTGGCTCATCCTTTGTAGAGGCCTAGAAAAACAAAATTAGGATAAATACCACCATTTTGTTGCTGTCGTTTTTTAATAAATGTTCTGTGCCAGGCACTATGCTAAGTACTTTGCATGCATTGAATTCTCAGAGAAATCTTTTCAAATTTGTGCTATCATAATCCTCATTTTACAGATGGAGAGACTGAGGCTCAGAAGAGTTGACTGTGCTGCCCAAATGCACAGAACTAGTGGGTAGCAGAGTCAAGGATCAATCCCAGACCTGATTCTCTAAAAAGTTCTGACTGTCACACTATGTGTGAGTCCCAGAGGGAGAAAAACACTCATTTGGAAATTTAGAGTTACTCATGCATGAAGATACATAAACAACACAAGGTGGCAAGATGGTCAAATCCTGAGAGAGAGGCTGGTCATCAGAGTTATGGCAGTTCTGGGCCGGGAGAGGATCCCTGAGAGCTGTACCATGAAAGGGGCTTTCTAGAAAGTGAAAGTGAAGGTGGGGAGTAAAGCAACAACTTGAAAAATGACATGGAGCAGGTCACAGAGCAAAGGCAGGTTGAGCAGAAGCCCAGACGGCTTGGCCAAGTACAGGTTGAACTCAGCAGAGGTCAGCTGACCAAGCCAAGGTGTGCTTTGGAGAGCAAAAGGAGGAGGGTTGAGCTGGCACAGTCTGGCTGGCTGGTATTAGTTTCTAGAATAATAAGCTCCTCAGCTTGGCTGGTGACTTCTAGCCTCGGAAACATCACTGCTTAGGGGATTCCTCTGTATCACAGATAGGACCTGAGCAGTGGAGCTAACAGTTGTTTCCGTTATTGGAAAGGGAGGAAGTTTCTGCAGAGTAAGTGGGCATGATCTGTCCTGCAAGATGGCCTCAACCTTTACTCTCCTGGGTAAGAGGAGACAATGATATTTCCATGGCCAGAGCATTTCACTAAGAAGCCCACAAGCTAATGGTCATTAAAGCAAACTCAGAGATGGCACGACCTTTCTGCAGACCACAGTAATATATATGAAGAGGATTAAAGTAATGTAACTCTTTGATCTCACAATTTTACTGCTGGAATTAATCCTAGGGAAAGGGTGATAGAGAGATGAGAAAATGTGTGTATGGACAAAGATGGTCACTGTAGAATGTAGTTTTAACTTGCAAACACAAGAATCAGAAATATTCCACCTAGTCTATATAATGGGGGCTTAGTTAAAAATTATGACCCAGGCCGGGCACGGTGACTCACCCCTGTAATCCCAATACTTTGGAAGCCTCAGGTAGGTAGATCACTTGAGGTCAGGGGTTCAAGACCAGCCTGGCCAGTGTCGGGAAACCCTGTCTCTACTAAAAATATAAAAAAATTAGCTGGGTGTGATGCACCTGTAATCCCAGCTACTCGGGAGGCTGAGGCACAAGAATCACTTGAACCCAGGAGGGGGAGGTTGCAGCAAAGAGATCACACCATTGCACTTCAGCCTGGGTGATAGAGTGAGACTCAGTCTAAAAAAAAATAAAATAAAATTATGATCCATCTATACGAGGGAATGCTCCACTTTCATTAAAAGTCGAGGCGGTCACATCACAGCAAGGGGAAAATCAGTTAGTATGACACCAGCTCATAAGTACATTAATCCAATTCCATTCACTTATTAACTATTTAATGAAGATGGGCTATAAGCCAAGCACCATTCTGGGTACCGGGGATATAGAGGGGAACAAGTTTAGGGTGGAAATTTGTTTGGGAGAAGACGGGCAGTAAACATATAGACTTAAGAATACACAGGATAATTTCTGAGTGTGGCACACAATACCATGAAGAAAGTCACATAAGATGGGCTAGTTTCGTGTGTGTGAAGATGGAGGGATTATCCAAGGAGGTGACATTTCAGCCGTGACTTGCATGCTGAAAAAAAATGCACTCTTGAAGATCTGGGGAAGAGCATTTCAGGCAAAGGAGCAAAGGCCTTGAGGGGCAATGCCATTGGAGTATTAGGAGGGGAAAAAGCAAGAGAAATAATTTGTGAGTAGAGAGAAAAGATGCAGGAGAGGCAAGCATCTCTTGAGGTCAGAGGTTCAAGACCAGCCTGGCCAGTGTGGTGAAACCCTGTCTCTACTAAAAATATAAAAAAATTAGCTGGGTGTGGTGCACCCAGATCACACAGTGATCACACAGAGACTGAAAGCCAAGGTGAAGTGTTGATAAGGAGTTTGGATTTCGTTTCAAGTGCAATGGAAAGCTACTGGATTCTAAGTAGGTAATTATTATACAGTTGACCCTCACACAACACAGGTTTGAACTGTACAGGTCCACTTACATGTGGCTTTTCTTTCACCTCTGCCACCCCTGAAATAGCAGGACCAACCCGTCCGCTTCCTCCCCCTCAGCCTACTCAAGATGAAGACGACAAGGGTGAAGACCTTTATGCTGAGCTACCTCTGCTAAATGAACAGTAAATATACTTTCTCTCCCTTATAACTTTCTCAATACCATTTTCTTTTCTCTAGCTTCCTTTATTGTAAGAATACAATATACAATATATATAACATACAAAATATGTTAATTGACTGTTATGTTCTCAGTAAGGCTTACAGTCAATAGTAGGCTATTTGTAGTTAAGCTTTTGGGGAGTCAAGAGTTGTATGCAGATTTTCAACTGTGAAGGGGGTCAACACCCCAGCTTCCGTATTGTACAGGGGTCAACTGTCTTTAACTTTATGTATCGAGAAGGAAATATACCAGCAGGTTAGTAGAGATTATCAAGAAGTAGTAGGGTAATAAACCATTTTTAAAACTCTGTGTGCTATTCTGTAACTCCCAAACTTTTGTAATTAGAAACAAACAGTAATTTCTATTTAAAAAATAAACAACTCACCAGAGAGCAACATCAACAGATGATGACCATTGCATGGAGCTCCAGTCTGAAGAGATTTTTCCCTGTGCAATCTCATTTGATTTTCACAGTGACCCTGTGAGCAAAGCCAGACCACTGTAATTAAGATCTCCATTTTGGAGGTGAGGACATTGAGGCTGGGAGCTGAAAAGAGGCTGAAGCAGGAAATGACAAAACTGGGACAAGAATCAAGGTTCCACAGCCCCCGTCCAAGCTTTCTGATTTTGCCGCCCAGCCAGGCTGATGACTGGGTCTGCATCAGATTCATCCAGAGACCCCAGAACCCTAACAAGAAGTCTACAGGGTTATTCTCCTGCTTAGGGGAGGACAGGGATGGACCTACAGCCCCCAACTGCAGATGACCGAAACAAAAAGAAGGATCTTTCCCATGTGGTAGATGCTCACCAAACATTTGCTGAATTAATGCAATAGCTTGCTTTTGGGGGAAATGCCACCTTTGGGAAGTGTTTTTACTAACTTTCCAATTTAGTAGCTGTGCAACCTCCTTTGTAAGAAAGAGATAAGGCCTGTGCTCACTCACCTCAATGAAGTTGGAGTGCAGGTTCTGGAGCCAGAATGTCTGGGCTTGAATCCACTGCTACCATTGACCACCAGCTGTGACCTACACTTTCCACCTCAGTTTTCTGATCTGTGAAGTGGGAGTAATAATGATGGCCTCCTTGGGTTGCTGTTTGGACTAAATGAATGAATGAGTGCTTTGAAGAGGTGTTGGCATATAGCGTGTACTCCATAAGTGTCAGAGGTTAGTAGCATTAGCACGATAGGGCTGCTGAAAGGGTGAAGCGAGAGGCTTTTGGCAGCATGGGCAGAGCTGAGCAGGGTCTCAATAGGTGGTGGTTGCTGCGGCAGCCCTTCCAGCCCCGTGACTTCCCTTGCCGCTGCCTCAGTGGTTATTCACAGGAAACATACAGAAATGCACTGCACATCATTTTTTAGAGATGGGACACCCTTATCCACCAGAAGGGTCCTTTGCCAAGTCAAATAACAGATCTGCACTCTCTCATCTCAGGAGGTTTCTGTCTGTTCAAGGTCACGTGAAGAATTTCCTGGCACTTTCCAGTGTCTCTGCCTCTAATTCATTTAAAGAGCCACCTTTTAAATTTCAAGCTTGACATTTGCTTAATAACATGTATGGAGCCTGCCCTGGTGAGTGGCCACGGGGTCTCCACCCCATCCCTCTGTCCTCCACTCCTGTTTTCAAACTTAACAGTTTAAGGTCCACCAATAATTTTGCTATCACTGCATACCACGTGGTCTAGTCTTTCCCTCAATGTTTGTCTTTAACTTGTCTCCCATTTAAAACTTAAAATACATTTCTTCAAAAGAAAAACTTACTACCATAGATGGAAAGCCAATCCCATCTGCTACAAATAGAAGCTAGCCATAAAAAGAAATACCACGAAAATAAAACTATATTATGAAATTGTAGAATATTTACTTCTAGAAGAATAGGGTTACCTATGGAAGACTCTGGGCTTGAGACCTGTTTGATTCCTATTTGAAAGGGAGATTTAGAGAGGTGTTAAAGTTTGAGAGAGGCGTTAAAGACCTATTAGTATCAAAGTGAGATTTCCTTGCTGGTGTAATGAGAAAGATTGAAGAGAATTTTCACAGGAGAAAACCTCTCATCACACGATGCAGTGTGTTTGTTTCTTTGTCTTTTCACTTTCCCCTACTCCCCAGGGGCAAGGGGTTCCCTATTATATGATTCAGTTCTTTATTGAGAAGAGTTAAAGAGAGAGCAGCCCAGCCCCTGCTTCTTGCTTATTATATCATGCAAATAAGACTCTTTCCCTGCTTTGAAATGAGGGAGCTGGATTAGAGAAGTGTTCTTCTCGGAGGATCTCCAGGCCTTGAAAGTCTGCGAGGCCCCATCCAAAAGTTTGTTTGGCTGCTGTCCTAGTCCATTCAGACTGCCATAACAGAATACCATAGACTGGATGGCTTATCAACTATGGAAATGTGTTCCTCACAGTTTTGGAGGCTAGAAGTTAAAGATGCGGCACTGGTAGGTTTGGGGTCTCATGAGAGTCTGCTTTCTGGTTCACAGAGCACTCCTTCTGGCTCACCCTCACATGGCAGAAGAGGCCAGGCAGCTCTCTGGGGTCTCTTTCTAAGGGCACCAATCCCATCAATGGGACTCCAGCATCATGACCTAATCACCTCCCAAAGCCCCCCCTACTATACCATCGCCTGGAGGTTAGCTTTGTGTTGGGGGTGGCCAGACAAAAACATTGTCTATAGCAGCTGCACATAAACGTGTTCTCACCTGCTGAGGAACAGAGTTGCAACCTCTCGAGAGGATGGCCCCATGGTAGGGGTTGTGTAGCTGAATCTTCCTGATGAGTAAAGACGTAGGCTCCATCACATACCCACAAATAAATTCACGTTTCCTGGGGGTGGATTTTCTGCTCGTTGAGCTGAGCAGATGGCTGTGCTTGAAATGAAAGAGGAAGTTGCTAAACCCCTCTCTCTGCCCAGTGCAGAATTTGGAAAAAACAACCAAATAACTAGTTAACTTCAGGTTCTGCCCGCCCCCTGTTTCAGTAGCCCCGGCAGATTCCTCCTGTGGTGGTTTCCTTATCAGAGTCCCTGGCAGGGATTGCCAGTGCATCACTCCTAAATTATTATGTCTTCCTATCTCCTTCCTTCTAGATCAGAGGGGACCTGCCTCCTCTGAGTGCTGCGTGTGGTTTTCTCAGCCTGATGCTCAAGACCTTGTGCAGTATCATTTCAGCCTACAATCTGACTGCACCCCTGGCTGCTGGGATTTCCTTCCTTGAACCCTCTGCTTCTGAAAAGCTGGTTACCTGGCACACAGCAGGCATAAAGAAATGTCTTTGCGTGAAAGAATATGCCTTATGCTGGGCTATAGTTTGCTTCAGTTCATCTCAACGTGCATTTCTTGAGTGTCCAGGACAACTGGTGCTTGAAGACTTCCTAGATGCCAGACACTGGTAGCTTGGCCACTGTTCCAATTTGCCCTGAACCTCCCCAACCAAACTGGGACAGTTGGGCATCCTAATAAATTAGGCTCAATGCATTCTATTTTCATGGGACTTCTGACATAGTGAGAGTGGATAACATTAAACAAATTACCTCACAAAGAAATGCATAATTACAAACATGCTGGGTGCAAAGGACAAGTCAACCCTGAGGTAGGCACTGTGGATATGAAGAGAAAAAGACACAGTCAGGCCTTGGTGAAGCACCCTGCTTGTAATTAGGAGAGAGAGGGACACACAGCTTATTTAATGTAAAGTGATGAGCGCAGTAAGTCAGAAACCTACACTTTCTCGTCCCTGTTCACATTATACTGTTTCTATTTTAATTGGGGTTTCAAACATTAGAAACCCACTCTGGGGAATTAATAGAGGTGTATTGAAAGGAAAAGCTGAAAAATAGGCCTTGGAAGAGAGAGAAACAACTGTTTCTTAGGGAACTGAGATAGTCAAAAAATAATGCCAGAACAAAAGAACATGCTTTGTTCCACTTCCATTAGAAAAATTGACTCTAGCTCTTCAGTGCCCTTGGGTTTCTCTGCCCAATATTCTAATTCCAGGAAGAAAGTATATGATGGCCAGGCTTGGGTCTCATGCCAGCCCCTTGGCCAGTCTAGCGAGGCACCATGAATTAGAAATTCCACCGAAACCATGTGCAGCTGGGCATGGGGATGGGCAGTTGCTATGGGAAATGGAGGAGCTGGTGCTGGGAAGGTGAAGGCCACAGCTGCCTGCTGTCTCCTCTTCAGAAAGGGTCCCAGACTTTGCCTTCTCCAGCATCTCTTTCACCATGGTCACTGCCCTTGGAGAGCCTCTCTGCTTGCTTTTGATCCAGAATATTCTGTTACCATGGATAGCACCAGGCTGACAGCTGTGTGTCTTATTCAGCCACCCCGACTATTATCACCTTGGAGCAGGCGCTGTGTCCTTGGGCACAGCTAGTACAATGCCTGGCCAGTGAAGAGACTCCATAAGCATTGCTGAGTACTTTCCAGAGAGTTTTGCAGAGCACGTGGCCATCCTTCCCTGGCCCACTGCCCTCTGACCAAACCAGCCTTCTTCCTACATCACAAGCACTCTGAACAGCTTTGTAGCCCACCTCACTATTCCTTCATCCCATGTTGCCTGCTTTGCCGGTCTTGTGACTCAGGGGTTCTCAACTGGGGGTAGCTTTGCCCTCCAGGGGAACACTGGCAATGTCTGAAGACATTGTTTGGTTGTCACCCTGGAAAAAGAGATGCTACTGGCATCTTGTGGGTAAAGGCCAGGAATGCTGCTAAACATCCTGTAATGTACAGGACGATCCCCCAACAGAGTTATGGGACCCACAATGTCCACAGTGCCGAGGTCAGGAAAGCCTGCAGCGGGGCTCAATCCCTACAGCCCAGAGACCCTCCCGTTTGGGAGGCCTTCCCTGAGCATTTCCCATTTCTTTCTCTCATGCCCCCCACTGTATTTCCTTCACAACACCTTGTCCTGGCCTAAAATGATCCTGCCTGCTTGTTCAGTTGCTGGCTTGGTGCCTGTCTTGTGCACTAGATTGGTCCTATGAGAGTGACTCCCGTGGGCCTTGCTCGTGGGGGGCTTTCCTGCATGGAAAGTAGCACATGGCATACAGTGGGCTGCTCAGTAAACACGTCTTGCAGGAATGCTGAATAAAGAAATATGACCTCAACTTTTCTTTTACTTTATGTTTTTAGTTTTTGAAACAGGTTCTCACTCTATTGATCAGGCTGGAGTACAGTGGTGTGATCACAACTCACTGCAGCCTCAGCCTCCTTGGCTCAAGCGATCTTCATAGCTCAGTCTCCTGAGTAGTTGGGACTACAAGTGTGCACTACCATGTCCAGATAATTTTCTTTTTAATATTTCTAGAAACAAGGTCCCTGAGTCTTTCTGTGTTTCCTAGGCAGGTCTTGAACTGCTGTGCTCAAGCAATCCTCCCACCTCAGCTTCCCAAAGTGCTGGGATTACAGGCATGAGTTATTGTGCCCAGGCTCAACTTTTCAAAGATCAGTGGTTAGAGAGCTTGGCTGTGAACTCCAGTTTCTTT